GCCATATAAAACATTATATTTAGTCCCCCCCCCCCCTCGACGTCCAATTCTATTTCATTTTTGAAAACCTTTAATATTTAGTGTAAAAAACCTGTAATGTATATTTAGTGTAAAAATTCCCAAAGCAACCATTATAATTATAGATACATGTTATAACATATGGCGATTTACGATTTCAAGGAATTCGAGATATCGAATTGCCATGAAGTTCGTGTACAAATTTTTAAGCCACACGGAGTTCCTATATTTATACATATACATTTATATGTCAGTTCTGTGTTTAGATACACATGATTAAAGCGATGTCCTTGCATGTAATAGAAGAGACAGACAGGAAAAATCAAATTGGTTGCAAGCTAACACAAATAATATGTTTAATAATTATGTGCTTGATGTAATTTCATGCAAATTCGTCATCTAGAAAATCTAGAAGCTTTTCTGAACTAGAAAATAATTTCAGGAATGCTGACTTAAAAATTACAACACATATATGCACGTTTTATATAAACAAACGCACAAATTAATGCACTGCACGAGGGCGAATTTCAAATTCTATAATATAAGCTTCAAACTGAAAATGGTCGGCAAGTTGAAACTGAGTAATATAGATATAAAATTATATACTGTATATAGAATTCAATTCGCAATTTGTTATATGAACAATCAAATATATATACACTGTTAATTTTAAGGAGTTATTTCAATTCCCAGTACAGTTATTTCATTTGAACTAAATTTAATTAACTTCAAATTGAGTAAAATTTGGGGTTCAAAATAACTCCACTGGCACTGCATGAATGAAAATATTTTCTTTTTGTTGGCGAGACTGTACATGTATATAATGTCAATAAAATAATGAAACAGGTTCCTATATATACAAAGCGGTTATATATCTATGGTTTATTTTACTTTAAATTCAGTCAAATCAACAAATTTATAAGCCACGAAAATTTCCCACGCGCCCTTTATGGTACATGCATGTCAATTGCCACTTAAATGTAAAGGTGTAGGAAGAACACACCTAATAATATTCTCCTACGCTATCAATAAGTTTAATTATTTTAAATTTCATATTTGGGATGAAAATTTGTGCCAAATAATATAGTCAGTGATAGTTTATGTATTCAATATACCAATAGTTTAATATAATCTGCATGATGAGACAGTAAATATACAACACTGCATGCATGGACTGTTTGATCATGAAAAGAACACCGGATTTTTTTTCAATAATAGAGAGGTTAAGATACCCCGGTTCCGGTTTACGGGTACGAGTATCGCCATTTTGTTTACCAATTTTTGCTGATGTCAGCAATTTTACCCGTAATTTCTACCCGTTTCCCCGCGGTAAACCGGGGTCTACACGTAAACGACAAACGGGTACGGGTGTTTTCTGTTTACTATTTTTGGGCCGTTTGAATAGTACAAATTTTCAACATCTTACCCAAATAAATAATGCACATATGCTGGTCAAAGTTTTCAACAATTTATGGCGAACCTCAACAGCGAAAGTTGCCATTCTTTGATCGGTTTTCTCACGCCAGAGTATCTTGGATTTCTTAAGTTACAAGTTATTCCCCGATTTACGGGTACGGGTACGTGTATATCACCCGTACCCGTAAACCGGAATCGGGGTATCTTAACCTCTCTATTAGAAAACTTATCATCATGCATGCAAGCCAAGAGCAACATACATTACCACAGGGTCTTTGCTACGATTTTAGATCTTTGGAGTATTTGTAAATTTCAAGTGTGTGAATGTATACTCCCATCTTCAAGGAATTAATTTTATTAACTCCTGGTGCCCAGTGGTGCTCTTTTGTACCTCATTGAACTCCACATTTGGAATTAAATGAGGTTACAAAATAACATGCCACTGGAGTTAAATCGACTCCTTAAATTTTGTACGTATGGTTGTTCTATATAGCTTTACAACCAAATACAATTAGGCGAGTGCACGCTCATAATCACACTGCCATCAGGATTGCATAGCCATGGGGCATTTAAATTAAAGTTATTTTAATAGAAATACGGTTCCGGCCTTTACCTATTATCCATCTAAACATAAAAACACCACGGAACATGCACTGTACCAATTTGCAGAAACTAGATTTTACAAGCTTTCTTACGACAAAAATAGGGCCAAATTCTGTCTGCTGTACGAAGCAATTACCCTATATATATTATTCTTATGAACATACATGTACATATGTGACTTCATATACAGAAAAGCTGCGTGTTTCTCCATTTTTGACCGCCGTAACACGGTCAACACGGCCTTCTAGCTCAGACCCTGGAGTAATTAACGACTTCTATTGCGTTATATAACCCTACACATGATGATATACTATATACTATATAATCAGCCTAAAAATATTTCTTTCCCTTCAAGACGAAAGGCATAATGCTCCTGTTGAAGAGTATCAAGAATCAACATCCAAGCATGGGTCGCTTTTATTTACACGCAGCCAACGACGAATCCCCAAATTGAAAGATTCTAATTAATGTCACCATTCTCAGAAAATCTATAAAATCCTATTCTCAAGCTTGGCGGTTTTCTCATTGTGCAACAATTCGCGTACTTATATACCAGAGGTACGCAGATATTACGGTCTGGTACTTTTTGTGTGACTGAAGTATATATATATATTCTGGTACTTTTTGTGTGACTGAAGTATATATATAAATGCCATATCGTGATGATTAACATATATACGGCTGAAGAAGACATGTTATTGTCGAAATGGTAAAAAATTCGGCATGGCTTTGGTGAGTGGCCATGTGGGTGTGCAGGAATGGTTGTGACTGGTTGGGTTCGAATATACCATCGGGCTGATAGCTCAGTTGGTAGAGCGATGGGCTTGTAACCCAAAGGTCGCCGGTTCGAATCCGACTCAGTCTCAGCTTTTCCTGTTCACTAAAAAATACTTACCTACGGTGATTAACATATATATATATATATATATATATATATATATATATATATATATATATATATATATATATATATATATATATATATATATATATATATATATATATATATATATATATATATATATATATGTGACAAATGCCAGTACTCTGCTCAGCCGACAAGACTTCATATGTAACAAACAGAACGGCTACGTTTGAAGAAGTTTATTAAAAAAAGTATATTAAATACAAAAACTAAATTTTCGGCTGCATGCCACAGCCTTCTTCAGAGTCTTCACTCTGAAGAAGGCTGTGGCATGCAGCCGAAAATTTAGTTTTTGTATTTAATATACTTTTTTTAATAAACTTCTTCAAACGTAGCCGTTCTGTTTGTTACATATATATATATATATATATATATATATATATACACACATACGCAGTACTCCCGCACTTTGCGTACTTGCCTGCATTTAGCTTTAACATATGCCAAGCGAACTTTCTAAGGTATTCAAACCCGTAATAATTGAGTAGCTCTTGGGCAAGTCATGTAAATCTGACCGATGTTTTAACTGACGATAAAAGACGGCACTATATGAGGAATGCTGCAGAGTCAATTAATTGTATGTGTTGAAATTGTAGTCGTTCATGTTCTAACTTATATATACTGCACGATGAATATACAATTTAGAATACTGCGCGTTCTGTACTTTACCTTATTAAGCTTGTACCAGCTTAATCACTCCACACAATAAACACTGGAGTACCAGTGAGGTGGTAAAAATATACAATTATCGCACCTGTTTCTAAAAATTTATCTCCTGGACTTGAACGTTACGTACTGGATCCGTATATGCAGGAATACGCAGAACATTTCCCCCCAACATTGCCAATATCTGTCACATATACTCGTTGATGTTAATTATATGTTTTTATACAATACTAGAGGAACATATTAGACGTGCTGTGCCTATGCTTGGATAATTTTTTGGCTGCATATATTGCATTGTCACATGCAGGAAATCAAATCAGACTATAGAAAACCATATTTAAAACGTTCCTGGTAGGTTTGCAGGCCGATATACATAATTGAATAGAATTTGTGGGAAACACCACCATGATTATGTAATTAGCCGAAAGCTTTCCTATATCCTTATAAGACTGAGTCATGATCAGTGTTCAATATTGAGCAGTCGGCCATCGGCCATTTTCCCAGCAAAACGCCCATATGCATGCCGTCTTCCGACTGCATGCTCTGCATGGACATTATGGCGGATCAGTTGGAATAATTCGAACGGTCTGTGCCAGCGCATAGGTAGTGACAATAACACTAGAAAGCTGCGAATTGAGCAAGAGGCCATTGGACCATTTGCATTATAGACTAAATTTTGATCTAGACAAAATTTCACCACAGCTTGAAAGAGCATCACAAAATTAGTAATATTCCAAAGTTTCGTTGCGAAATGTTGTAAAATGCGGATAATATAGCCTTGCGAAGTTTGCCGTTTGTCAGTCATTTTGTATTACGCACGGGAAATTGACAGCCCAATCGGGTGTTGGGGCATCCAATTTCCCGTTTGTAATCTAAAATGACTGAAAATTGCAAATTTCGCAAGGCTATATTATCCGCATTTTACAACATTTCGCAACGAAGCTCTGGAATATTACTAATTTTGTGATGCTCTTTCAAGCTGCATGTAGGCTGGATCGATATACCGGATATATCCGATATAGCCTACCGGTATTTGTTTAGATACCGGTTTGGCGATATTGACAATTTAAAAATACCGATATCCCGACATTTCGATATTTTGCTGCCTAATACCGAAATGAAACGCTATTTCAAGGCAAACTTGCTTACAATCACGTTTAGAAAGCAAAGTTAATACTCACAGATGCATGATTTTGTTCTTACAGTTCTAGCGGCTTTGGTTTAGCAATACCAGTAACCAGACCAGACGTCTTGTTTATTAAATCGCCTTAACCGGAAATATATAAATGGCGAAATTTTTAAAGGAAAATTTCGACAAAAAAGGAAACTTTGATTTTGGAAAGTGTAAGTACTAGCATTTGCGAAGCAGCGAAAACCTTTTCTGGCTTTTCAAGTTTTTTTATCGGGCAGTATAAGAAGGTAACTTTTTGTTGTTTTTAATCTTATTTAACTGACATGCTAACTTGTTTATGTGTTAGTTTTAAAAATGCAACGTTTTTTATGTTTATAACTATTAACAGCTTACTGAAACACTATCTGAATTTATATACAAAACGAATATTTTTCTGAATGATTCAACACTTCGACGCCCTACTAATAATTGCAGCTTAGCGCTGTTAATTGTTAACATAGCTTGATAATGCGAATCTTGTGACATTTGCACTAATAACAGTATGTGCCACATTAATATTTTGCCAAAACTTGATTTCTCTTGACGGTCAGCACTTCAGTTTGGCTTAAAAAAAAACACGTTAAAAACACCGGGATACCGGTATTTACCGGTATTCTGATGGCGGTATATCGGTATTCGGTATTTGCGATATCGATCCAGCCTAGCTGCATGTGATGAAATTTTTGTCTAGATCAAAATTTAGTCTATAATGCAAATGGTCCATTGAGTTAGTAGCCATTAACTTCCCGACGAAGGGCCTTCGCTCGAAACGTCGACTGAAGTTTTACTTGCATGTATTTTTCAGGTGGCTGATCCCTCTCAACCCTTTTCTTTTTTTTAATTCCTCCCGACACTCATTCTTGCAAACCAAACTCTTACTAATCTATATAGACAAATTCCATTCAATTTGTGATATTCATGAATTGCAAATTCCGTATTGCAAGTGAACTATAATTACAGTGCAAAGTGCCGTATGCAGCTTTTCTCTTTCGTGTTATTATAGTATAAATCGTTATTGTGCAATGATGTCGTTGGTCTGACAAATTGTCAGACCGAGTTTTCAAAATGATGTCGAACCCTGCATGTCATCATTAGTGCAAACAACATTGTTTACGCCAACAAACTTTCAGGCTTACGAGTTACGGACTGAAAGCTTTAACAAATTAACATAATCATGGAATGGTGTTTCTAGCAAATGAATCACAAAATGATAAAATGAAGTACCTTCTGCGACCGATCTGATGAGCACAGGTTTCTCACTGCCAGCGACAAAACCATAACCTAAAAATACCAGAACGAAATCATGCAGTCAATATTATTGTCTGTCTGCGCACCCCCCACCATTCAGTGCCAAAAAAAATAAGTGGCATTGCATGCATCAGTCAATCGATATATAAATGCTATTTTCTACAAATGCAGCTTAACAGCCTACTTCATGACCTATTTCGTTTTTTTTTTTATTTCCTGATGTCATGCAATAGCAATCAATTTGATCGTTCCCTCACCAAAGCATGTTTTGTTCAGAATCAATATTTGTCCATATTAAAATAGCTATAGAACAATGCTGATATATGGTAAGCAAATTTCCCTGGACTGTACAAAGCTCGTTTATAGCTTTTCACATAGATACGTCCAAATGAACAACCAATTAAAACTACTGTTTTACATATAAACAAAATAAGTACCGACTATAGGCACAGGTTGGCCGGCAATAAAACTGAATGGCTGGCAATAAAAAAATTAGTTTAGTTCATTTGAAAGAACTCTTAAAACTATATACGAAACTCTATTACAGATTGTTTATATCTTGCTTAGTTGCCAAAATATTTCGACTGAAAAATGTGAACTGTTTGCCATCTGAGAGGGGTGACGCTAATTTTTTATCTTGAGAGTATAAGTGATCAATATGGGTCCAAAACTTCGTTTCTGGTTGCTGTCTGAAATTTAGAAATGATTTAGAACATTTCAAACAATTTTGAATTGTTACTCGCCGGTCATTTTAGAGTAGTTTTATATGGTTAACCCAACTCCTGACGTCATCAAAACCATAGTTAAGGAGGTCAAGAATAGTCCAAGATGGCGGACATGCAGCTCATTACTTTTGGTCTAAATATTTCGAGAACTATAAACAAGATATGACAAATCGGTAATAGAGTTTAATTATACAATTTTAAGAGTTCTTTTGAATGATACAAACTTTTTTATTGCCAATGTCCTTTAATGTATAAAATTCACACTCGCCAATTCCATCTACAAAACCCTTCTCTGCAACTTTTCTCGAAAGGCCGAACTGCATTTTTTTATCGTATCAATATCTTGAGAGCATGGATCCACGGTGGTAATAGATTTTGTATTTTTATACCTTATACTCATCGAACGGTCTATCTTGCCACTGAAAATGTCCTCGACTGAGGAAAAACCGATGTGTTTCAGGTAATTTTACAAGCACATGTATAGAAACGTTATTTTTAAGTCTGTTTCAGGCAATTTGAACACAAGGACGAGATAAACAATTTCAAATACCGTCAAGCTGTTACAAAGTTAAGAATATCAGCTCATAGATTATCGGTTGAAACTGGTCGATATGCAACAATGTTTCGTAAGGTGAAAGAGTATATATGTAAACATTCATTGTGATCTATTAAATGAGATTGGGGACGAACGACATTCTTTGATGTCCAGTATATGCAATACAAAGCTCACCAATATTAGAGTTAATCGTATATTAAATAATCTTTGTGAAATAAATTCTTCGTTCTCTTCATATTTTTTACTTATACATAATGGCCATGCAAGCTAGTCAAACTCAAAGTCAAAGCAATTATGCCTCTACATATAGTTGCAAAATATAGTTATGATGTTTTGACAATTTAGTTGAAACTCATTTAAAGTAGGCTATCACTATTAGCTTATTCCGTATTTTTGTGGTTCTTATGTATGCATGAATTTACAGTGTATATATAACTGGTATTTATTTATATTGATTAAACATTAAATATTTAAAGTCCCACGGTCGAACAAGGATGAGAGTTGATGAGATTTGGCAGTCAAGAATTGTTATACGGGGAACATAATTCAAGCTTTGTATTAACAACATATATAATGGTTTGATGAGTGTTCCAATTATGTTTTAACTTAAATAGAATACGTGATAGTGTTGAGTAAGCACAAAGTACAGCTAACAAAGATCTCGTGACTGCCAGCTCTCGTGAGCTGTCATCCACGTTCATCCAGCTTAATAACACGTAGTTATGCATGGAATCCTCATAAGAGATTTGCAATTTCGCTGAGGCGAAATTTGTATCCAGAAAAACTGTACATACTTCACTCGAAAAATCGACTCATAATACGTCTTATAGTTATACTTGTATAGTAAAAATATTTTTACCAATTATAAGGTGAAATCGTGCTAAACGTTTCGCTCACAGATATACATATAAGCACCACAAATGTGACAGGGATCTTACATATCGAATCGATATTACAAATTAGCTACAATTACAAATTATATACAGTATCTTGTGGTTTTTGAATTACAATCAAACCCTGGTGGCCAATGCGAGTGAACGAAGTAACAGCAATATTTATTTAACATATTTCACAGTCAAACAAGGAGTTAATGAAGCGAATTAAGACTGGAAAGCGAAAAACGAGCAAAACCAAAACAATCACAATTAATGCGAAACTCACCAATGTCAGAGTGCCTTGAAATAACCACTTTTCTTGTTCTGGGAGCAACCTATAAAATATTTCACCATGGTTATATTTCCTGCTAATATACCAAAACTCTACATCAGCTTAAATTCCCTGACCCAGCGGTATAGTCACCTTGTACTGTACCATAGCAACTCACATACACAGCGAACTGAAACCGGTTTACTATAAACAAGATTAAAATAGCCTTGTATATCTTGTTGGAATAACCCAGAATGGAGTGGTCCCAAATATCCACAGCTACTTGTAATTAAATCAAAGCAATTTTATAAAACAAGACTGTAGGGTTTCGTCATCTAAACAATAAAAGTTGCATACATGAAAAGAAAAGAGCAACAGACAGAGACGACCCCATGCTGAATGGACAAAGAGCCCACTATATCATAGGTGCCTTCGAAGGTTCGCACTCCCACGCCATTAAATCTGCATATTTGCAAGTTTGTTCGAAGAAAAAATCTCCCACAGGTTAGGAACATACTGTGGAAATGGCATATATTATACACGATTTTTTTTTTGTTAAATGTAATATAGCAATTAGGTGTTGATGCACAATACAGCTGTGGAACGACGTAACTCCCAGAAACTGACAACATAAAGCTTGATGAATACCAAAAATTTAAAACACTCCAGAGAGGGGGCGGAAGTTGTACCAGTTCACAAAAGAGGGTAAAACTCGTTGTAAGTAAACCAAAGAATTTATATCAACCCTATAAATTAATAGTTTCTAGAAACGAATGCTTCAATGTGTCATTGTTGCATGTTTTGTTCATATTCCAGCCCTGCATGTCTCTTTCAAAGACAAAGGGTTATAGGTGTCAAAGTTTGTATATAAAGTTATGCAAATATGCGGTCAGAAGCCGCTAAAATGTGCTAGATTTCACACATGCATAATATATTTAATTTCCCAGTTGGTAGACATCCAGTTATTGGCTAAGTGTCGTGTTTGTATATACATTGTCGGTGAAGCTGGCATTGCCAATTGCAACAAAAGTGGTAAATGTTATGTCTCACTGTTGTCCTTTCAACCTTTTTTGTCTGAGCAATGTTTTCCTATTTCTTAATTATTTCACACTTTATACTAATATTAATTAAGCTCGCAACTATGCAAAACTAATACTTCTCTATTAGTATATAATTGAAATTGTCTTTATAGTGAAAGACTCTTAGTCTTTCTCTTATAATAGTCTTTCTAGTTATATACGGCTATAAGTTCGAAGGTGCCAGAAGTATATAATGATATAGATGTTTATACAGCAACTACATTGCAACCAACTCTTTGACTTTAGCATATAACAGTTTTTCTTAATAATGATTGGCCAATCAGAGAAGAGAAAAGTAGAAATACGATCTAGATGTGACCAAACACGATCTAGATGTGACCATATAGAAGGCCCATGCAATATAGTTATAGTTGTAATAGGCACAAGAAAACTAAAATGGTTTAAAATTCAATAAAAATTCATTGTGTTACCGTGAAAATATTCTACCAACCGTTTTTGTAGCCATAGGTGTTTATGCGAGGCGAGGCTCAATCTTGCATGCGTTGTGAATGCAGACTTGCAGTGGCGTATAGTGACGTATATTACTTATTTGTCTTTATTATTGAGAAGGAAGGAAACTCTTTTGCTGCGAGAGAACGTCATGAAAATCACGACAGAGAAAACTTTGATACTCGAACAACATTATTGTGAGAAAATTATTTTAAAAAGCAAACACAAAAATAAAAAAAAATGTGCAAAACCTTTGCAAAATATTTGCCAAAAATTTCGTGGATGCAAATGTACGATTCCTATATGGCGAGTCTGATAGGTCGAAAAAGTAAACAACCTTGCGTATACTTTCACTAATTTCGGCTTGCTTACATTTGAATTATTTTCTCTGGCAGCCCAAAATCATATTATTTAATTTTATAACGAGGGGTTTTCCTCTTCGACCGTTTCTCTTTTGCAAGGGTGAAAAAACCACTGGCATGAATGCACCCAGTATAAGAAAAAGTCGGGATAGAAACTTTACAGTAATCGAATATTGTTAACAAACCTACAAGCAGTTGAAAGACTTCGAAAGCCCAACCTTTTCATGAAATACGGTATTTTTTCTCAGCCCAACTAGGAGGGTGAGGACTAGACTAGACTGTCTTGTACACATGGGTCTTGGGTTGTCGACGGAGAAATATTATCTATAGGAGAGCTATAGACCACTTCTCAAATATAACAATGTTAATGCTGTAGCCATTGGTACACTGGGTGGACATCGTGGTTTAATGTTAGTTTTTTCATTTATTTTTAAGAAACTTTTACTATATTAAGCAAGCGAAATCTGCATGTGCTAATGCAGATGTCAGTGGTGGTTCAGGGGCGTGGCTCCGACTCAACTTGCACTCCCCGCTCATGAATTCGAACCATTTTAGAGATTTCAGCAGAGGCTGTTTTAAATTATAAAAACTAAATAAAGGATGACGATTTTCAATTTTTTGACAATCCAAAACTGCAAAACATCCGTTATTATCTCGGTCAAGCTTACACCATGCATTGCAAATCATGTACAAGTGGTGTTATGTCCGTAGAAGTGGTGTTATGGCCTCAGAATGTCGGTTTATAAAGACAATCTTTATGTCGATTGTTTTGGTCATGGGCATTTTTTAAATTGCATTTCTTTTTTTGTATATAAAGCTTTTTCTTCCTATAAATTTGGGCGTCTGGAATTTGGGCGCCAAATATATACGTTTTCCGGAACCGAAATAAAGCCAGAAACTGCCGTGAACTCTCGCTTGCGTTTGATCGCCCAACTCTCATCGCTCGCGACTATATCATTAACCTTGAACTGGCCTCAAATTTCCGTGAGAGTTGACGAGAGTTTTTGCTCTGCTTGACCGGTATAATATCCAGTGGTCAACTCATCAACTCTCATGCAACTTTTGTTCTCGTTTGACCGGCGCTCTACACAATACAATCGAAACCAAAAAATAAAAATATGCGGAAATTCGTCGCATTTTAAGTAGATCGAGCATTAGAATATTCGAACATATATAATTACGTCACAAGTATAGCAAGAGAACACTCTAGATTTTCATTCCCGGTTATGTCTGTTATACGTATGCATTCTTGGTAACCATGATACACTTCTCTAGAATGAATATAATATGTGCATATTCTAAATAAGGAATGCATGTTTCAACAAATTGCCTAAAACATTCCCTGCATGCACGAGTACAATTTCAAAACAAATTCCAATCTTTGGTTATAGCTCATATATATACATATATATATACATATAGATATATACATATATTACATATATATATATATATATATATATATATATATATATATATATATATATATATATATATATATATATATATATATATATATATATATATACATTTTATAATAGTTTGTGTTGGGTTATAAAAACCAATGATAGCGTGCTCAATGGATAACCAGAGCATAATAGAAAGACACAAAAACTTAGCAAGCTTTGTTTGGCATGTTTATTATTATACAGTTTGTACCACGTAAATAACGTGGCACTCTTCAGATAAAATAGCCTATGTTTGACCTCTAGCTTCTAACGAACTTTTTAAATATGTACAGCAGATGGTAAAGGATGCTTATCTAATTACAGACCAATTAACACCTTAACTAGCGACACGAAATATTAGTATCAAGTTATAAAGTTTTATATATTCAGAATTTTATATATAAAGAATTTATATATTCAGAATAATTATAAATAATTATAAATAATAATATATATATACCGGGTGTCCCAAAAAAAAGTACTCCTGTTTGATTCGTAATAACTTCTAAACAAGTACAGCTTTAAAAGAGAAATAACTTGCATCAAATAGAGGAAGGACTAACTTAGGTTTTGATATATTACAGCTGTATTTTACTTAAAAATTCACGGAGATATTAATGTTCAAAATCGGGAGCATACTTTGGGATGTGTCTAAAATTAGCGAAAATCGACATATCAAATATTAACTACAGCGTTTGTTTGCTTAATGACATATCATGCTAACTTCTGTTTCAACGAATTAACGTTAGGGTTTGTAAGGGATATGGCGTAGATTTAGACATCTTACATGTAAGTCTTAGCTCATTGTTTCCTGAAATATGAACGTTCGAAATTATGCAAGTATTTAATATTAGGTCTTTACAAACACAAAAGTACATGAAAGACTGACCAGGCATGGAATGCAGCCGCTTAAATTTTTCTTAAATAGCCTAATTTTATGTTTTTAATGGCTTCAAACAGACTGAGTTGATTATTTCTCGGTTAGAGCAGGATGAATATTAATCTTTATTGAAGGAAATAATATTGTTTTTTGCAAATACACATCACCGTATCAACGCTACTATTTTGTTACGTTTTGTTCCAAAAATGTTGCATGTCTCTGGGGAGTTGCTTAATTGTTATGTCTTATAGAGTTATATGGTTTGATTGTGTTTCATATAATTCTCAGTTTACTCTGAACTTGCCAAGATTAAGAAAATGCAAAAGAGTTTGGGTGTTCTTAACAAGATTTCAGAACGTTGCAGAAGTTAGAAGAGCTTCACAATTCCATTGTGACAGCATGCCCTAATTCAGAACTACGAACGATCCATGACGATCCTTCGCGATGCAGTGGTCTCATGAAATAAGGAAACGTATTCGTGCTAGGAACACACGCGGATTTCGGACGAATAAATCTTGTTTGTATTTTGTAGATAATAATACTTTGTTTCATAATAAACAATTTGTCAAGTGTCATTTATTTACAGGTAATAGTGCATGTTTCAGTCGGGTAAATCTTGATTAATATTTGATACGCTGTTTTTGGCATATTTCAGACACATCCCAAAATATGCTCCCGATTTTAAACATTAATATCTCCGTGAATTTTTAAGTGAAATACAACTGTAATATATCAAAATCTAAGTTAGTCCTTCCTCTATTTGATGCAAGTTATTTCTCTTTAAAAGCTTTACTTGTTTAGAAGTTATTTCGAATCAAACCGGAGTACTTTTTTTTGGGACACCCGG